CCTGTCCAGATGGACGGTGATGCTGAGGGGCCTGCCCCATAAATGCATTTCCCTGGACTTCCTCCTCTGACCCCCAAGTGTACAGAGGAACAGGGGGCTCAGAGTTGACTTGGATCCTGAATCAGAAACAAACCTTGTGTCTGACAATCAGTCCACATACAGCACCCAATGTGGATGCTGCTCCCAACTTGAGTTTTACTCCAAAGCAAGACCACCTGCCGACTGTTCTGGGAAGGGAGACTCACTCAGTGTATCCTTAGAGGTCACAGTGGGAAGACCCCTCCTGCAGGAAGACACCGTGGGCTGGGACCAGACTTCTCCGAGTGCCGCCTCCTCCCGGGGCTTCCTGACGGGGTTGTCAGTGTCCAGGGCTCATCTCCACAGGCTGAGCGCTCAGTGTCCCCAGGACTAGGGCTCCTGTCTCATAGCCCTGGTGCTGGAGAGGGGAAGGGCGCACTGACCTCCCTGTTTGTTCAGTGTCCCAACACACACTGTGGGAAAATCTGCCTGGAGCCGGAGCTGTTCCGAGCAATGGGCTAGAGACCTTGCCCTCCTGGAACCCTGTCTGAACAGAATTGGGTCCAAGGTCAGTCCCAGGCCTGAGTGCTCAGACCCCAGGAATCAGGACTCTTAGACCTAGGAGCAGCTGCAGAGGCAAGGGGGTCCTCAGGCCCCAGCCCAGAGCCTGAGTCAGACTACAGGGAGGAGCCAAACCCTGAAATGTTAAAGCTTCTCAGGTGCCATTTCCAACACTGATCATCAGGGAGCCTGAAAGAGAGGAGCCCTGTCAGGTCTGACTTCTCCCCAAGAACTGAGTGGTGGATCAATCACCCCATCTCTGCTTGAAGCCTCCCAGTGATGGGGGGCTCACCACCTGTGATGCAACCCCTTCCTGGGATTGTGAGACTTCCTATGACCCATGTGAGGCTCAGGCCAGCCGTCCTGAGCCTGCTGAGCCTTTAACCCAGCCCAGCTCTGCAGACGGCTCTGCCACGTCCTCCACCCACATCAGTGTTTACACTCAAGGTGAGCAGACGACAACACAAGTCGTTGTAGACACAGCAAGGGAAGCAGAGAGATACCCAGGGTCATTGCGAACACATCAGGGGGATTAGAAAATTATTCCAAATCAGTGTAGACACTGTAGGTGATTTAAATCTTTTTGAATTACACAGAAATCTTTACTAAAATGTGTCCTTCAGTAATGTGTTAGCACACATACAATATGCACACATATATCTGTATGCTCTTTGACACACCTCATAGATTGCCACCATTAGTTTAACCAATAAATTAAAATGATAAAAGGGTGTGTGTTGCGGGGCAAAGGGGATGGGGGTGAACCAAGGACAAAGTTTTCATGTTTCATCTGGTAAGAAATGGCAAATTTCTCAGAATTTCCCTGGGGAAAACCTGTGACCAGAGAATCTCTGAAAGGTCCGTGTAGACAAAACAAGGGAACAAGGGATAGCTCTCAGGTCAGTGTGAATGTGCCAGGGGAGCTGGGAAGCCATCCCTGGTCGGTCAGTGAAGACATGCTCCAGGCAGCTGTAGACACAGCAGGGGAAAAGGAGACACCCCAGGTCAGTCCTCTCACAATGCGGGAGCTAGGGAGCCAGCCCAGGTTAGTGCAGATACTCCAGGGCACTGGGGAATGGTGTTAGGTCAGCGTAGACACAACACGGCTCTCGGGAAACCTCCTAGTTTGGTGTAGACAAACAAAAGGAAATAGGGAAGACATCCAGGCCAGTGTAGACCCAGAAAGAGAATTAGGGAGACATTCCAGGTGAGTGTAGAGCTGTCAGAGGAGCTAGGGTGACATCCATACATCCATGATGTACAGTGTAGATACATCAGGAGAACTTAGGGAGCTATCTCAGGTCAGTGCTAAAAACCAGGGAACTAGAGAGGTCCTGGTCAGTATGGATACACTGGGGGATCTAAGGGGTTACCATTGGTCACTGTTGACATGCCAGGGGAACTAGGGAAATAAACCAGGTCCATACAGAAACTGCAGGAAACTAAGTGGACATCCCACATCCAAAGTCAGCGTAGACATAGCAGTGGAAATAGGGATACATTCAAGGTGAGTATAGGGGGACAAGGTAGACATCCCTGGCCTGTATAGATACCAAGGAGAAAAGGAGGTACCCATTCATAGTGTAGACACAGCAGGGGGACAAGGGAGGAACCATGTTCAGTGTAGGGACACCAGGTAAATTATGGAGGCACTCCTTGTTTGTATAGAAACACCCAGATGAACTAGGGAGACATCTCTGATCAGTATAGACACTGCAGAGAGTTGTAGACATCTCAAGTCAGTGTAGACATAGCAGAGGAAATAGGGAGACAGTTCAGGAAGCCTGTGCTGTGGGACATGTGACATGGAGCTGCCCCACACTGGGTGGTCCCTTTGTTAAACTACAGAAGATGAGTTAAGACACCAACATGCCTGGAGGTATCCTGGGGATACGGGCAACCAAAGATGGAACCCATCAGTGTCAGATCCAGAATTAATTCTGTCATGTAATCACCACTGTTAGGAGGACTCATTAAAGCTGAACAGGAATCAAAGGGGGACCTGCCAGGAGGGGAATAAAGACTGTGATGACAAAGTGGGGGGAGGGGGAGGGCAGTGCAGAGTCTCACTGCATCAACTTAAGCTGTAACTTAAACTGCAGTTGATGAGATGGGATCTGGATCTGGGGAGGCACAGATGGCAGTTTGGGGAGCTCTTCCTGGCTGGTTATTGACAGCTGCTTCAGGAACTGTGCAGCATGAAAAAGTCAGCAGCAGCCATATAAGACATGTTTGCCTTGTTTCCCCTCATGACAAAGTCTAGGGGGCCCACAGAGTCTTGCTGCATCAACACGAGCTGTAACTCACAAACTGCAGCTGGCAGGAGGGGATCTGGGTCTGAGGAGGCACAGACAGCAGTTTGGGGAGCTCCTCTTGGCTGGTTAAACTCTGGGCCTCTCCCAGACTGTGCCACTCTCCCTGCCTTGGTTTTCTCTTGTACAACAAACCATCCAAGAGTGTTGTGGCTTAAAGCATCGCTGATTCATAATCTCCCATATTTCTATGGTTGGATTTCGGGCAGGGCCTGGCTGCTGGTTCTTCTGATCCACGTGGACTCGGATGTGGTTGCTCCCTCAGCCGCATCCAGCTGGTGGCTTGGCTGAGCTGGAAGGCTCAGGTGGGTGCCCGTGTGGCCCCACGTGCGTCTGGTCCCCCACGACCCCTCCGTGTGCTGGCTGGGCTCCCTCACAGCATGGTCTTCTCAGGGAAGCTGTACTTCATCCATGGTGGTGGCTAGCTTCCAGGATGGAGGAAGTGGAGGCTGCCCATCTCCCAAGTCTGGGCATGAACGTCCCTGTATACATCTTCCTCTGTGTTCTATTGGTCAAAGAAAGTTACCAGGCCAGTCTAAATCCAAGGGAATAGGCTCCATCTCTGGAAACTCTACCACACCACCCAATTTCAAAGTCAAGGGACTCAGCCTCTGACAGGTCAGCTTGCTATCTGCCTGTCCCTTGATAAGAGCAGGGAAGGTACTGATGAGGAGATGCATCAAAACTATGTATCTATGCCTGACAAGGGCTTATTTTCCAAAATATACAAACAGCTTATTCAATCCAATAACAACAACCCTGCCAACAGCCCAATTAAAAAATGGGCAGAAAACCCAAATAGACATTTTTCCAAAGAAGACATACAGTTGGCCAATAGGCATATGAAAAGATGCTCAACTTTGCTAATCATTAGAGAAATGCAAATCAAAACTACAGTGAGGCCTCACCTCCCACTACTCAGAAGAGCCATCATTAAAAAGTCTACAAATAAATGCTGGAGAGGGTATGGAGAAAAGGGAGTCCTCCTTAACCATTGGTGGGAATGTAAACTGGTGCACCCACTATGAAAAACAGTATGGAGGTTCCTTAAAAATCTAAAAATAGAGTTGCCATATGATCCCGCAATCCCACTCCTGGGGATATATCCAAAGAAAACTCCAGTTAGAAGAGATACATGTACCCATTGTTCATACCAGCACTATTTACAATAGATAAGACATGGAGACAATCTAAATGTCCACTGATGAATGAATGGATAAAGAAAATGTGGTGCATAGTCCACCAGACTCCTCTGTCCATGGAATTCTCCAGGCAAAAATACTGGAGTGGGTAGCCATTCCCTTCTCCAGAGGATCTTTCTGACCCATGGATCAAACTTGGGTCTCCTGTATTGCAGGCAGATTCTTCACCATCTGAGCTACTAGGGAAGCCCGTATACATGTATACAGTGGAATACTACCCAGCCATTAAAAAGAATGAGATAGTGCCACATGCAGTGACATGCATGGACCTAGAGACTGCCACACTAAGCCAGTAACACGGAGAAGACAAATGCCATATGAGATTACTCACATGTGGAATCCAAAACAGGTTACAAATGAACTTATTTACAAAACAGACCCACAGACACAGAAAATAAACTTATGGTTGCCAAAAGGGGAGGTGGGGAAGGAGGGATAAATTAGGAGTTTGGGTTAAGAGTAATACATATGAGATAGATAAACAACAAAGCCCTACTGTATAGCAAGTAGAGCAACCCATAATGGAATTGAATGTATATATATCACATAGGGCTTCCCTGGTGGCTCAGGTGGTAAAGAGTCTGCTTGCAATGCAGGAGACCCCAGTCCAGTCGGCCCCTGGGCTCAGAAGCTCCCCTGGTGAATGGAATGGCAATCCACTCAAGCATTCTTGCCTATGAAAAACAACATATATAATGGAATCAATTTGCTGTACTCCAGAAGCTACCACAAATCTGTAAATCAACCATACTTCAATAAAAAATTTTCATCTAATGAGGAAGGTGAGGACTCCAAGCAGAAGCCCGTGCTGACACCCATTGGAGGGAAAGCAGAGAACAGCAGCCATCTCCCAGAGCCCTCTGCCAGCCTCAGCCCACCCCCTCTCCTCCCCCAGGGTCTTGCAAGCTCACAGCAGCCTGGGGGTAGGTCTGTGACCCTGCAGGCAGTGAGGACACTGTCTGGGCAGGGGCAGGAGCCAGAGAGAGCAGAACGCAGCCTGTGGGCCGTCGTGCTGGGACCCAGGGTGGCTGATGCCTGCGGACGAGGTGCAGAGCTCTCCTTGGACCACAGCATGTGGCTCACCTCGGGAATTCCGATCTTCATCCTTTCCTCCTGCAGAGCTGCTGCAGCAAAAATAACTTCTGCGTGCATTTACTGCATGCTCCCTGGTGCCGCATGTACTTTCCTGCTCATCTGTGGAACACAAATCACTGAGGTTCTGGCGCCCCTCCACCTCCATGGGGACTGAGGAGCCCCTGAAGATTGAAAACAATGTGGCAGGTGCATAAATGCCCTAAATGAACCTCAGGGAAATGGGCTCATTTGGGCATTTATGCACCTGCCACATAGTTTTCAGAACCTTTGAAAACAGCCCAGGTAATTCCACCACCAAGAACATAAAAGGTTCCCTAGAGACCATTTTATTACCAAGAGGAGAATTCTGGAAAGGAGTCTATCAAGTGAGTGAATGCTGTCAAGTGTAGATTCCTTTTCATCTGAATGATGGTTCTGATCCACAGGGCTAAGGGCTGTTTCTCCTTGAAGTTTGGGCAGCTGAGATCTTGGGTGATGGATCACTCTGAACTTGAGACTTTCATTAAACTTGTCAAATCTGTAGCCCGTGGCTCCTTCCTTCCTTCACTCTTTATCTCAGCTAGAGGAAGGGAGACTTGAGACATTCTGAAAAACACAATGTTTTCTTCACTAATCCTCTAGAAAAGGGAGCCAGCAAAACTCAATTTAGTGAAATTTAGGAAGCTTGGCAGGGCTTCCCAGGTGGCACTAGTGGTAAAGAACCCACCTGCTAATACAGGAGACGTAAGAGACGGGGGTTTGACCCCGAGTCAGGAAGAGCCCCTGGAGAAGGAAATGGGAACTCACTCCAGTATTCTTACCTGGAGAATCCCATGGGCAGAAGAGGCTGAATGGGCTATAGTCCATAGGGTTGTGAAGAGTCAGACAAGACTGAAGTGACTTAGCACAGCACAGGAAGCTTGGCTATGGCTCCATCTAATGCCCAAAGCTCATCTTGTGTCTGATGAGGTGACAGGTTCCCACGGGTGACTGTGGACCAACCGCTCAGTCCTCCCGCCTCCTCCCTCCTGCCCTGCAGAGACCTGCGCTTCCTCACCTCCACCTGCCTCCCCTCTGCTGGCTTCTCATCTGCACAGACATGCACCCAAGAACCGTCCATCCACACTGAAAACAGCATTTCTCTGCCACACCCAGGTGGGTTGTGTTCAGGGGCTGAGGGGAGTATCACAATCATGCCCCGTCCATGGGCCATCCTCCTCCTAGTACACCCCCCACTGTGTTTAGACCACGCGGCACGGGGCACATTGAGAGTAAAATTACTTGTTATTTATCTGAAATTGAAATTTAACTGGCGCCCTGGATTTTATTTGCTAAATGTGACAATTCTACCTGGAATGACCTGGGTGTGTCCCTCTGAAGCCCCCCTGCAGTGTCAGCTGCCTTTAGACATGTACTTTGGGCCCTGACCTCTGTGTGTGTGTGGGCTTCCCCTTCAAAGAAAAGGTCTCTCTAATGAGATCTATAGCTCCTCTAGCCAGGGGTCTCCTCACAGCCCAGGGTCTCTGGTTGGCAAGTGTGCAGGACCCTGTGGGCTGTGGGGAGGAGAGGTGGGGTAGGGGTACTGGGTGGGCTTAGGGCTGCAGTATGGCTGGATCCCGGGAAGACGGAGGCTCAGCCGGTCACCCAGTTCTCTCCCATCCTTGCCTGCCAAGCCGGCTGCCGTGGGTGGTGCTGAGTGGCAGCGGACCTTTGGACAGGGCGTGAGCCACCTTCCCCTTCCCCTCCCCTGTATGTGGGTGCAGGCGCTGCAGGGGCATCTGCCCGTCTCACATTTGGGTCTCAGCAGCTGAGTTGGGGAGTTTATGAGGTGGCTTTCGATCCAGAGAGGTCCGGGTTTAACCCCAGCTCACACCTGTAAGTGTGGACTGACTGACTCTTCACCACTCTCCCGACAGGGGCTACGGCTGGCACATTCCCCTGCCGTGATGGGTTGGGGCAGTCACCTCAGCACACACAAGCAGCATTCAGGCACTCAGCTGGGAGTTTTATTGTATACTATATTCCCTTTCACCCCCTCAGTCCCCCAGGGCAGGGGCCAATGTTCTTCTCCATTTACAGAAAAGGACACTGAGGTTCAGGAAGAAGGGCAGAGTGATGTGCTGGGAGGAACATAGCCACCAGCACTCTTGTAAAACAAACTGTTTCTTGGAGCTTGCTGTGTTCCACGGTGTCAAATACTCTCAACACTGCTGATTTCAACTTGTCAGCAGTTTAAGAGCTGGCTCACAAACCCCCCAAACGGCTAACAGACTGCTCTCAGAAGCTGGTGTGAAAAATGTCATTCATATCTCTGCCCATTTTTTTTTCATTGGGATGTTTTGTTGTTGTTGAGTTAGGGGAGTTCTTTATATATTTTGGATATTAACCCCTTATAGGATATATGATTTGCAAATATTTTCTCTCACGTGGCAGGTTGCTTTTTTTTGTTACTGTTGTTGATGGTTTCCTTTTTAGTTTAATGTAGTCTCATTGTTTTAAATTTTGCTTTTGTTCCCCTGGTTTCCCTTGTGTGAGGAGATACATCCAGAAAGACTGCTTAAGAACAATGTATATATATATATATACATACACATACACACATATACACACAATGGAATACTACTCAGCCATGAAAAAGATGAAACCTTGCCATTTGTGATAACATGGATGGAAATTGAGGGTATTATGCTAAGTGAGATAAGTCAGATGGAGAAAGACAAATTCCCCATGGCTTCACTTCTATGTGGAATTTAAAAAACAATCAATCAAAACAAAATAAATGAACAAGCCAAACCAAACCAAAACAAACACATAGATACAGAGAACAGGATAATGGTTCCCAGAAGGGAAAGGGTGGGAGTGGGGAAGATGGAAGTGATCAAGTGCATGTTTAACATGGAAACTAAAATTTTAGGGGTGAGCATGTTGTAGGGTATACAGAAGTAGAAAAATAAAGTTGTACACTTGAAACTTATATGACTTTTTCTCTGGTGGCTCAGCAGTAAAGGATCCATCTGCAATGCAGGAGATCTGGTTCAATCCCTGGGTCAGGAAGATCCTTTGGAGAAGGCAATGGCAACCCACTCCAGTATTCTTGCCTGGAGAATCCCATGGACAGAAGATACTGGAGGGCTACAATCCATGGGGTCACAAAGGGTCGGACTCGACAGTCACTGAGCATGCATGCATGCAAACCAGTGTCACCCCAACAAAATACAAATGAAAAAACAAGCACCTGGGGTGAGCAGCCCAGCACCCTGAGAAGCCTAAAGGCACACAGCCATGGGGAACTGGGGCTCCACTTGGTCCCCTGGGGCCCCTCCACCCCCAGCACCCTCTCGGCTCTGCGTTCTCCCCTTGTTCCAGCTGCCCGTGTACTGCTCCTGGGACACGGACCAGCCTCGGTCTGCTCAGCCAGAAATGCCCACAGCATAGGGGCAGAACGGCCGGGGCCAGCAGATGCTAGCTTGTGAGAGCTGACTTTTGCATCTTAAATTTTCAGGGATTCTATGAGCTGGGTGACAGCTTAAAAACACGAGTCATGGGGAAAAATAATCTGTGCCACAGGAAACTGACAAATGCTCTAATGTTCTCTCACATCACCCCACAGAGGCAGTTGTAATATGCTGAGCATCATGATTCTGCCCTTAACAAATGACAGTTGACAGATGTGAGGTCTGACTCAGCTCCCAAGACCCCCTTCAGGACAATTCTAAGGCATGGTGACATGCTATGCTCCGGTATCAATACACTGAGGCTACAGACTGAGGGCCACGTGGACACCACACTTTGCTTGGCTCCATCTCCTCCTGGCCTGGCTCCCGGTCCCTCATCAGCTCCCTGGAGAGAGCCTCTGACCACAGCGCTCATCCCGAAGTCCTCACCAGAGCATCTGCTCCTGGGACCCAGGTCAGCCTGGCCACTTGGACCTCATGGCGTGCCCTCAGCAGTGTGTAGCTGGCTGCCTGCTGCATGTCTGTGTCCTCGATGGTGATATTTCCACTGTTCTGTGTGGTTCTGGTTGGCTTCCCCCTAAGAGGGCACAATCAACAAATGCTAGAATATTGCAGCAGAACCAACAAATTGAGTGACATGCTCACAGGACAGCTGTAAAGAAACGATGAAATTGGCCCCACAAAGAAGTCCAGAGGATGGTTTGTGCTCAGCTGGTGGTGGAAGAAAACAGAGGAGTAAATGGAGGAGTAAGACTGGATCCTTGCCCAATACCACCAGCAAAAGTGGGACCTAGGTGGATCGCAAACCTAAAGAGGAAAGGAAATAAAATAAGAAAGGAAATCAGATAGCAGAATATATAGGATGTTAGTGAACATGTGACTTGGAATTATATTTTAATCAAATTTTAAAAGTATGAGGCAGACCATTAAAATGATTAATTTTATTACATTCACATAAAGATGTCTGTTCATGAAGGAAATCATGGACAAAATTAATGAACCACTGACAGGTGTGAGAGTATGTTTGTAATGTTTGAGACTGGCAAACAGTCAACATCTAGAATACACACCATCATTTTGTAAATCAGTGAGGGAAAGAGAATTCCCATAAATGGACATGAAAATATTAGATAATCATCAGCGATCGAAACTTCAAAATACTAACAAGCATATGCCAAGATACTCCAAATTGTTGGACATGAGGGACATGCAAATGAACCCTGCAATGTGATATCTGTTTATACCTAATAGTCTGGCAGCGATTAGGAAGCTGGCAACTGCCAGTGTTGCCAGGGAGACAGAGACACAGGGACACCCAGGCCCAGTAGGTGGGAGAGTAGATGGAACATCCACCCTGGAAAGAAAGCTGGCACTGTTTAGTCAGACTGAATACAGGAGAACTCTATGACCAGTGTCTCCCCGCCTGCACCCCCAAGCACTTGCCTGGGAAGATGCTGACACGGGTCCACATGTGACAAGGGATGTTGTCTGAGCATGTGTGTGGTGCCAGGAGTTGGAGGCTTCCTGGAAACGTGGGGGGAAAACGTGGCCCCTGAGCACCATGCAGTTGAGAAAAACAATGGAGTCACTGTGCACTTAGCAACATCAGCATCTGTTCAGAACACAATTATTTGTAAAAACAAAAAGTGTCATAAACAGAAGGAAACATATAACAAAATGCCATCGGTGTATGTTTAAATATATGCCCACA